AAAAAAAAAAAAAAAAAAAAAAAAAAAAGGTACCAGGCGGCCAGGCCTGCAGCTTGCTGACATTGAAATTACCATATAGGTTTGGAGTCTAGGTAGGATTATAGGTCGCAATGATGTTCCGCAATGATGGTCCGACAAGAAGGTAGTGGTAGTGGACCCCTTACGCACGAACTTAAGGGCACGCGTAGAGGCTAAGTGCACCCACGGCAGAGGGCCCAGAGGCAAGAAGCAAGTGTATATCAGTTGGTGCAACGAGTAGTCGGGGCCATTGACAGCCATGCTGGTGCGCCGCAGAGGGTGTAGAGTCCAAGCTACCCGGTGAGCAGGGACGAGGTTGAGGGTAACAAAGAAGAGCTCCATGGCTATGGAGGAAACGATGGTGAGTAGCTATGGAGGGAGAACTTCAAAGCAGTAGAGGCCCAAGCTGGGATATGGAAATGAGAGGCGGACAGGAGAAGGTGAGAGGAGCAGGTGAGAGGAGCAGGGCGAAGGAGGGAACCAAGAGGAGGACTTACAGCTGGCTAATAACAGTGGCTGTGGTGCCTCCTCGCAGGACAAAGGAGGGAACTGAGCGGAGGACTTGCTGCTGGCTATGGTGGACCTTCATCTTCACTTGAGTGGCTGGCACTTCATCAAGAAGGTCCCTGGAGGGGCTGGACTTGGACTTCGTCCAAGAGAAGGGCTATGGTGGTAGGAGGAGGGAGAAGCATATTAGCAGTTGGTTTGTTTGTTGAGCACCCGTGCATAGCAGAGATGATCCGCCATAGCTAGCAGCTCGGCGAGATGGTGAGGCGAGAGAGAGGGGATCTTTCTGACATTGATTCCTGTTCAGTCATTCTCATTGAATTTCCTTGTTCTTATGTTTTATAGTGAAGAGGAGGAAGAGTTATGTGAGGGATGATGATGCAGGGAAGTAGAGAAGAGAGGAGGAGACATATCCATTCTTCTTCTTCTTCTTCTTCTTCTTCTTCGTCTCCTTTTTAAAGAATTAGGCAGGGTCATTCACTTCAGCTTGTTGGATGCATTCACTTCTGAATCAGCTTGTTGAGCAAGAAACTGGTGAAATTTATCTATTCAGAAGTGGAGCGTACTAACCGTAATCCTAATCCTGGCATTGGAGTTGTCAAATCATTGTAGCCTGACATGTGGCCATGTTAGCAAGAGGGGCCATGTCAATATAAGAA